CCTCATGGTTGCTCAACCGGAAGTTCCACATCTTGTTTTTGAACAGAATGTTGTATGAGCTTCAGTCTGGTTTCAGAGCAATGTGATGATGATGGTGACGGTGATGATGATGACGGTGATGATGATAATGGTGGTGATGATGATGATGATGATGATGATGATAGTGATGATGATGATGATGATGATTATTCTGTGTCCTCAGAGTGTGACTGTGACATGGAGCGCAGTCTTTCTCCTCACTGCTCTGACTCTGGTCTGTGTCAGTGTAAACCGGGAGCCGCAGGGCGCCGCTGTGACTCCTGCCTACCTGGATACACCTGGAGAGCAGAGGGAGCCAGCTGCACAGGTACACAGAACTTCAGTACTACCACAGGACCAGACACAGTTTGTTTACCAGATGTAAAACTAATGTTATCAATAATGTAACTAATAATAATCAATAATGTTCCTTATAATCAACAGTTACTGAACAATGTTGCTAATAATCAAAAAGAAACTCACAATTAATAATGAATAATGTTACTCATAATCCATAATGCTGCTAATAATCAATAATGTTACTAATAATCTGATGTCACTAATCATCAATAAACACTTTGCCCACTCAGTGAACGTGTGTGACGAGGAGCGTTTGATTTGTCAGAACGGAGGAACCTGCGTCGACTTCCAGCGCTGCATTTGTCCGGACAACTTCACAGGTAAACACACACCTGGATGATGTCACAGCTCAGGTGATGTCACAACTCAGGTGTCTGATGATGTCATGTGTTCAGGTTCGTTGTGTGAGCAGAGTGTCTGTCTGAAGAAGAACGGTTGCTTCGACAACGCTGAGGGCTCCGCCTCCTCTCTGACCTCCCAACTTTACCTGCTGACCCTCAGTCTGATCTCCACCACCCTCTGCTGACCACGCCTACCTACCTGGGCCACACCCTCTGATGATATCACTGAGATTTTGTTTATTTTTTGTTTTTATACCGTTGGAACAGGATGTGACATCATATTCGATACACCTGTGAGGACGTTTCCTGTGACGCATTCGATCACTGCAGCAAGATCACTGCAGCAAGACGCCAGTTACTTCCTGTCACGTGTCTGACCGTGTGTTCTCTGCTCAGGTATCAGTTATTGATCACCGCAGGCTCTCAGTACTATATACAGTACAGTACTACATACAGTACTATATTCAGTACTACGCACAGTGCTATAATCAGTACTACGTACAGTGCTATAATCAGTACTATATTCAGTACTACATACGGTACTATATTCAGTACTACGTAGTGCTATATTCAGTACTACATACAGTACTACATACGGTACTATATTCAGTACTACATAGTGCTACATTCAGTACTACATACAGTACTACATACAGTACTACATGCAGTACTACGTAGTGCTATATTCAGTACTACATACAGTACTACATACAGTACTCACAGTACTACATACAGTGCTACATACAGTACGAAGAACAGTACTACATAAATACTACAGGCCGCTGTGATTGGCTGCAAGATCGATGACTTCAGGTCTGTTGTATTGTTGTTGTTGTTTTCATTTTTGTATTATTTATTTACCTGCTGGGTCCGATGTAAACATTTCTCAGGATTGAAAAAACACTTCCTGTTCAATTGTTGCCTAGCAACGCAAACATGTTTAAACCTGATATTGTTGGTGTGTGTCTGCGGAGTTCTAAATAATAACAATAACAATAACAATAATAGTAATAATATCCCGTATATGTGGTAAATAATAACAGTGTTTACTGTTGATTGTTGTGATGTGCTTGAAGACTTCCTGGATTCACCTTTACTGGATGTACAAACATTGTGAGTCTCTTGCTCTCTGATTGGCTGATCTGACTGTCAATCATCAGCCTCAGGACAACGCCAGAGAACTCATCACACTGCTGCATTGTGATTGGTCGGCGCTCATGCTAACGTCACTGATCCTAGTGACAGACAGTTACCATGGAGACAGACTGTGTTGTTGTGTTGAACTTTGTGTTTTTTATTGTGTTTGTTTGAAAGTGAAAAGGTTAAAGGTCGGTGGACCTCAAGATAGAAATAAAACTCACCAATACGTCTGTAGCACGTCTCTCTACCACCAAGGTTTCTCTCAGCACACAACAACAGTTCAATTCAATTTTATTTGTATAGCAGAGCATTATTTACAGAGACCCAACAGTTCCCACCATGAGCAAGCACTTGGTGACGGGGGCAAGGAAAAACTGCCTTTTAAGAGGCAGAAACCTAGGACAGACCCTTCGGCTCTAGGTGGGTGGTCGTCTGCCTCGACCAGTTGGGGTGAAAGAAAGAGAGAGACTGAGAGACAGACA